CCCCCCCCGAAAAACCAAATCAACAGTCATATTGCATTTATAGAAAGTCTTTTCTAACCTGCTGTGGTAGGATCAGAAAGGACATAATCAGCGAGGGTAGATGGTGTTTCTTAAATGTGCAGGAATGGCTGCAAGCAAGTCTAAGCTGATGTGTTTCCATTTTGTGAAGCAAAATAGGGAATTTCAAGAATGTTTGAAGATCCCTCTAATTTTCACCTATTGAACAGTTGTTTTATGCTGTAACTATCTCTTCAGGTTCTTATTTTGTGAATTTCCCCAGTATGGGCTGTGTTTCTACATTATTCTCAGCCTGCTCTGCTATCCAGGCTGGAATACAGTTTGCACACAGCAGCCTTACCTGGACTAGCTCCTGCAGACCTCCAAGTACCATGAATGGGATGTGTTGTGTCCTGAGATACCTCTGTTTCTGATACTTTACATTTTGATCCTTTGTTTTGCTTCTTTTCAGCTTAATGATTATTTTCTTATATGGATGTACAGCACTCTGAGTGATTAAACCCTGTAATGAGCAGCTGTAGACTGCCTGAATGAGCAAGACACACAGAGAAAACAAATTTGAAGGGAGTTGTGTAGGCCTAGTGGCAGAGTTTGGGTTAGAAAACTGTATGGACTGTTCACTAATCAGTCTATCCTAACAGTATCTTTGTGAGTTATTACAATTTCTAATGTGCTCAGAGAAATGGATTTCTTCTCTGTACCTTCCTCTGAGTCCTGGGATTTTTTTTTTTGTTATTTTTGAGAGTAAAAACGTGGGAAGCAGACTCTGGGAATTGCTGAGAGAGAGGTGAGCAAGGCTGGCAGGATGGAAACATGGGTGATATGTAGCCTTCTCCTGGCTGAATGATAGAGCTGTGGTGTTGGCCCAGCTGCATACAGGAGCGTGCACATTGCTCTGGTGCATGTGTTGAACACGACTGAAAGATTTCAGTGACCATTAAGGTTTTATACTTTAAAGGATCCTAAAATAAGGAGGCTTTGTTCAAGATGGTTAATAAGGAAAAATCCAGTCCCCAGAAGCAACGAGCAGCTCCTGGGAGTCTCAGAATGGAAGAGCTCTCATTAACCTACTTGGAGCAAGGGCATGCGTCCACATGCACACTCTGTAATTTCAGAGCTGCTGTTCTTGGAAGGGAGCAGTGGTTGTGTTTCTTGGAGCGGAAGTGTAAGATGAAATACTGTGTTTTGCTAATAGGGTTGACTGACCTGAAATATATCCATCTGGATATGAGGATGGGAGGAGGGGACAGGGTGATTTCTAGTGAGTCTGACTGCCACCCTCAACTGGCTTTGCTGTCAAGTGTGGTCTTTGTTTTTGGCACAGTACTGAGCAGAGATTCATTAAGTATCATGCTAAAAATAAAATTATGGTTCCCAAGAGCATTCAGAAAAGCAAGAGACTCCCACCTCACTGTAGCTGCCTTGAATTTATTAAAAATCCAATATGTCAACCTTACTACTTTTGCCTTTTCCCTCAGCTCACTGATTCTGATGCAAGTGCTTCCCTAAAATAAGTAGAGGAGCAGAAAGTGGAAGTCTCTGAATAAAAGTTGTGATAAAATGGAAATATCTTTACTGTAATCACCTATTTGCTCTTTCTTTCAGGCACAATGTCTACAGTAGCCCAGAAGCACTTTCTGGAAGGGCAGACATACTCAGTCCCCCTGATCCAACCAGACCTATTTTCAGGTGGCAGATGCACTTCAGTATCTGCAAAAGGTGTCGGGCGATATCTTCAACAGGTACAGTGCTGTCACCGGGGGGCTGAGGGCTTAGCATGTGAACAGTGCTTAGCAGTGAACAGTGCGCTGTGGTAAGGTTGCAGCAGTGAAAGGGCGTTGCATTGGCAAGCAGTGGAAGTTCAGAAAAAGGATAAAGGAGGACCAGACGCACTTCAATAAAAGTTTATTGGATTTGGGTCTGTCAAAGTTAAGCATAATGAAATGGCTGCAGTTAGCCAGAGGTTGGTTGTTATTAATTATTTACAAATTGCATTACTGCTTCTGCTGCAGTTATCCTTTATTCCTTCTTGCTCATATTTTAAATGGGAGACTTTCTTATTTAGACTGTCTCGAAGATACGTCTTTTTGAGTCATCGTACTTGGAGCAGTGGAGTAGAAAACATGTCTTTGTTCTGATCTCTGGAACTTTGTGCTCTTTGGGCTTCTGATGTTCTGCACTTTTTTTTTCTGTATGTTGGGAGGGCTGAGCGCATGAGAGTGTCTGTTCTTTCTTGCTAGTGTCTCATAATCCATCTAAACTGATCTCTTCAGGAACTCAGCCCAGAGTTGCCACCTCTTGCATATGGTCGTCTTTAGAATTTGATCTACAAGACTGCCTTGTATTGCAGATTAGAGAGATTCTTGTGTTTGCCTGCAAATGATGGTAGATAGTGTGGTGCCTTTTTTCATCTGATGCCATGTTTGATATCTTGGTGCCCTGAGATGTTGTGTCATACCATTGGTATAGAAACAGATCAGCATTTATCTTCTCACAGCCTGATTAGCAAAGCACTTGCTTTAGTGTCAGTGGTGAACATGACTACCTAGTTTGATTTATTGTGATGTGAGCAGGACCATGGCATTTTCTCTTCTTTGAAGTTTTTTTTGGTTTTAAGGACAAATTTGTTTTTTTGACAGTGATACTTTGAAGGGCAGCCTCTGAGGAAAGGGTAGTTACTAAGGCTGAGCTCAGGTCATTGAGGTAAATAAAGGCTTTTCATTGGAATATTCTTTGTTTGGGCAAGGGCTGTGTGTGGGCTGGATTAGGTTGAACACAAGGTCTCATTTTTTTGTGCACTTCTCAGTGTGCAAACCCTTCATGACATAAGGCTGGAAGACGGCTTTCTAGAGCTTCCAGAAACATGTAGAAGGCACCTCTCAAACTTGGGACTGGTTGGCACTGCTGTCCCTCTCTGTAAGGCAAATAAAGCTCTTGATGAAACAGGAGTGGTTCTCTGTCTCTTTTTTTTTTTCTTTTCCCTCCTTTCCTACTTGCTGCTTTGTAACGCAGTACCTTGTAATTTCCCTGGGGAGACAAGCCTGCTGTTTTATATGCAAGTCACTCCTGAGTCCTGAACAGTGACTGTGATGCTGTTCCTTCGCTCTTTGGTGCACTCATGACTTTTAATTACCAATTTTTTCCAACAACAGAGGAGGCTTCATTGGGTTCTTTGTTTGCTTTGCCTTTCCTCTGAGGTCTTGGCTCTCTGATATAATTAATAACGATTTAGTAATTATGCAAATGTCTGATTAAAAGTTCCATGACCTTGGTTGTTCCATGCCAATCAAGGGGCAAAGCTTTCAAGGTGAGAACTTTTGCCACTTAGTGAAGAGTGACCTTTTATCTTCCCTTTCCTGAGATAAGGCAGCTCTATCTTCCATTTCCAGGAAGGAGCTGCCTTATCTGGGGAAGCTGACTGTTCTGATCTGCAAAACTGCAGCTTGCAGTGTTGATGGAGAGGAAACTTGTTCAGTGTGGCAGACTCAGCTGAGTGTGTCAAACTCATTACTTCAGTACTACAAAGATGCAGATGTTTTGGGGTTGTTTTGTGGGAACAGTTGGATTGGTACAGTGCTTTTGAGAGTGGCAAGCCAATTTGTAATTTGTTGAAGGTGGAGTGAGAGAGTCTGTCTTACTCCCTATAGAAAGAGCAATCTTCCCACAACCAAATCTTTTTTTCCATGTTAGCTGCTTAAAACTTCTGCTTTGAGTTGTTACTGACACGAAAATTGAGTATGAATTCTCAAAATGAACATGTCCGTCTGGTGTGCAAGGAGGGTGAGCTTTTTCTCTCTTTATTTGGAAACTGGCTGAAGGCAGCTGTGGTACTGTTGAACTACTTGAACAGCTTTCTTCCCCTTTCCCCTGTCTGGGGAGTTTGGGAAATAACCCATGAGACAAGTCTCTGCCAAGGTGTCGTCTTCCCAAATGCTCTCAAACAAGTTGACTTGCTGTTAAGTTAACTGTGGCAAGGTACATGGGCATGAGGTACTTTGTAGTGTTCATTAGTTTGTAATGAAAGAGTTCATTAGGGTTTTTTTGCAAATAAACAGGTTAACTATGGCTGAGACCCAGAGCAGACCCACTAGGAACAGCCTTGGAGAGCAGGTCTAGCAGCCCATAGTAGCTAAACCTCCGCTGTACCTTGCTAACAGGGGACCTGGTCTGTGAACTGGTATCAGTAAGAGCAGGGGGTAGCTCAGCATCCCTCTCTGTCATAGTCCTTACCCTTGGGAGCAGGAACCCATCCGGCCTCTTCCATACGGAGAACAGCAAAGTACCACATCCTGCGGAGGGAGAGCACTGGGCTGGGCAGGATGGGTTGATGTCTTGGGTGAGTACAGTCCTGGTGCTGGTATCAGTACTGTGAGGAGAACAAGAGACTGCACGTACTTTCCTGGGTTGTGTTGTGGAGTAATGGAACTTTTAACCTTGTGTATGTTAGCTGAATTCATGTAATTAATCCGCTGTGGAAGCTGCAGTAAAGATCAGATTCATTGCCTGTAGCCATTGAGATTTTAATACATATCATTAATGCTTAAAACATAAATATTCTAACATAGCCAATCTGACATAACATCTATATGAGTTTAACTCCTGCACTTTTAAGGAGAGCTTTTGATATAGGTCACAGGAGACAGAATGACCAATTTAAACACTCAGTTAAGCAGTAGTCTTTCATCTGTTTCTTTCATCATTACCAACGTTTTCTGGGTGACGGTTTGTGTTGGAATTGTGGGCTGTGGAACTTTTTGTAGGAATGTTGTTGTGATAAGTACTTCAGATCGGTGGTGTGTTTAGCTTTCCTGAGGTGCCCCCCTGGTTAGCTAGGCTTGCCCTTTGGGATTTTTCTATTTCTGAGGAGAGCTTTGTTGCCAGGAGATGTTAATAGCCTCTAATATGTCAGTTCATTATTCAGAGTGTACACTTTTGTATAACAGATTTGTGGAAAATTGCCTGTGCAAGTTATCTTGTGAAGTAGAGAGAAAACAAATACTTGGGGCTGGAATTTTGCTATCAAGGTCCTGGTCTCCTTCCCCTGTAATCCAACCACAAGTTGTCCAGTATACAAAAATTCTCATCCTTGTGCTTCTTTTTTTCAGTTTAACGAAGAATTTCTGGGTCAATAATTTTAAATATCTTTATTCACTGTCTTTTGCTTGTCTGGAATAGTATTTTGCTAAACAGGCATATCCTTCTTGTTTCTCCCCAGTTGGATTCAAATTAATTTCATATTAAATATTTGAGAAGGGCTTTACTATTAAGCAAAGGTTTAACTGAGAGGCGCACTTCTGAAAGTGGTGGTTGAAAAACAAATGCACTGTGGAAATGCTGTGGTGTGTGGGGAGGAAGTCTGGTAAGTGTGTGATTGAGGAAGAAGGTGAGGAGTGGCTGGCTGGGCAGCAAAGCCTTAGGGGATGTTTGGGACAGGAACAGGGTTGAGATGTGAGTAGTTTTGACATTGAAAATGCAGACAAAACTAATCATGAGGTGCATTTGGGTGTTTCCTGCCTTGCTTTAAACGTATTACTGTGATTAGTCGTCATGATCAATGTTGAAAATGAGTGACTGAGTTTCTTCCTAAGAATGTACTTGATTTAGGTCATCTGTGTATTATTAAATGTTCGTGGCAGTTTACGAATAGGGGTCTTACTGCAAACTGTACCATGTTTTTTGTTGTGCACTGTGGCTCTGGGATGCAGCTTGAAGCTTGAACACTGCATTGCAGTTGTTCCTCTGCTTGCTGTCAAGGGTTTGGTCTTACCAGGAGCAGAACTGTCGAGCAGGGTCCATCATGATGGGTCACCATTCAGGTGAGTTTACTCCAGAATGCTGGCTGTAGCACAGGGAAACAATCTTTTCTCCAGTTAATTTGAGAGTGATACAGCTCTTGATAAGCACCAAGTCACCTCATGGTACTTTGAAGTTGTCCCAGAGGCCATCTGAAAGAGGATACTAGGTCTAGTTTAGTAAAGGAGTGAGTGGATGGTCCTGCAGACATGGGGACACTGAGCATGTGGAGGACAGAGGGAGGGATTTTGCCTGCAGATATTGGTTATTGTAGAGGCATGTCCAAGTAATGTGGATTTTTTTTTTCTTTGAAGTATAAACACAGTTTGTAAGACAGCACTCATTTGTTTTAGTTCTTATGGTCCCCTGAAGATAAATTTGAAAGCTTGTAAAGATGTAGCTTGAGTGAGGTTCCCAAACTGTGGAACACTTTAGGAGGTGACATAAGGGGGCCGGATCAGCATGCCTGGAGGGTTGATGGTGACTGGCAGTAGCAAGCATCCTGTGTCCTCAAAAAGAGGTGAAGGCATAGTGACTGTTCTGCAGGAGTCCAGATTACAGCTCTTACTGGATGCTGCTAAAATCCATAATCTGAAAATCTTGTGGGATCTGAAGCCCAGGGCCAGTTCAGATGCCTTGACAGCCTGTGGAGTGGGGCGGTGAGTAGGAAGGGGCACAGCTAGAACTGACACAGCTTGAAATGAAATGGGAACAGTAGGAAAGAGGAGACTGAATGGTATTAAGTCATTAAAAGATTATTCCTTCAAGATGAAACAAACATGGTGGAGAATTAGCAAAACAGGATTCTCGCTCATCTCAGAAAGTGCTGAAAATCTGTGTCTTTTGGACATCCAGAGATTAAATGTGTCTTTTGAAGGAGAGGAACAGAATGCTAAATTTGATTCTGCAAGCAAGATGCATTTATGGTATTGTCATTGAAATGTAATGG